AGTGAGGCTGGAGGGAGAGGCCACAGGGGAGGTGGTGGAGGAAACCCCGCTGGATTCACTGTCGTCGCTGTGAGTCTTAAATTTGTTCCGACACTCTGGAAAGACAAAGATAAGAAGACATTTGTGGCTGTTTGTGCTTGAGATTTGGGGTTTTGCAATTCTTCTGTGGTAGTTTGATACAGAGACCCAGGACCACCCGGGCCCCTCAGGGCCCTGTTTCAGGTTCTGTTCAGTTATCCATCAACGCAAAATTGAACCTTGGAAAAAGGTTACCTCTTAGAAACTCTGCTTGCAGCTCAGGACTTCTGAGAGACAGAGTAAAAGGAGGAGGAGGGGGAGAGGATGAAGAGGAGTTCAGCTGGGTTTGTTTCCCAGCTCTGATTGAGGTAGATGTTGATGCCGGTGATGATGATGATGATGGAGGAGGTGGTGCTGAAGAATTCATGATGAACACCTGCAGTGAGACAAGCTTTAGTGAAGTTTCAGTATATACATTTACTTATAAACAACATCTCGCAGATAGCTTTTCAATTTAATTGAATTTTGTTTATGTAACATCACCTCAAGGTGCTTTATATTGTAAGGTAAAGACCACAACAATAACACAGTGGGACACTGAGTAAGAAACTCCCTTTTAACAGGAAGCTCTGATAGAACCTGGCTTTTCTCAAATCTTTGACAAGAAACGACGGCCTGGATACCAATCCACAATGTTCAGGTGAGGATGAGTCCAGGTGAGGTTGTTTCTTGGGTTTTGAATTAAAATCATTTAGTACAGTGATGTGGGAAGCACACCTGCAGGGCTCGATGAAAGTTTCATTTTGCCTGTCAGATCAGTGATACTCAACAGGGTTTTGAAAACAATCCAGATTTAAAAAACAAGAAAAATCAGTAACAGAATGAGCAGATGGAGGCGCAGCATTTTTGCAAACATTTTATTTTACTTTATTTACTAAATAAATACAATTTATTTTTAATAATAAAAGTAAGAAATGTTAGAGAATACCTGTTAAAGAACACGTGTAAGTATGAAAAAGCAGGAGATACTTGTCTGCTTATTTTTATTAAAAGGACATTAAGATTTCTTTTACTGAACAATAAAATACTGATAAAATATGCGGACTCCCTTTTCTTATTCCTTCACATGAAGCCTGTGCACTTTTCATTCGGTGGTTTGGACCTTCTAACTGCAGACGAGCTTCATTTATCCAAAAGAAATGACTCTTTGAATGCCTGTCTGTTCATTAAAATCTCTAACAAACATTTCTGCATCTAGTACTGACTCTAACTTAACATTAAACATATCCGATAAAGTTCAGTGGCATGCTAGATGATAATATGCTGACTGAATAACTGTTTAGGAAGGGTAAGCTCCATATTAAAAGACAGACACAGACAAAACAGACAGAACTATGTTTTGTGATGGGAAGGGTTCACACAGACAAGCCCATGTGAGAAAACCAGATCTATGGTGTCCTACCGAAAATAGACTCAGTAACATGCCTCACAAAATGATATGACTCCATAATATTCATAATTTGAGGTGCAGGGGAACAACC